CAACTACTTGCACAAGTATAGCGCAAATTATGCGGAAATGGCACGGCCATTGTCGAATATCATTTAGGAGGATCGGAATGGTGTTGGGACACCAAGCATTAAAAGGCTTTTGACGGGGTCAAAGACAACCTCCTTCATGCAACAATACTGGCGTTGCCAGACCCCGATGTCCTTTCAGTGTCAATTTTGACGCTTCGGACTTTGCCATCGGCTGTGTACTGCTGCAAGCAGACACCGAGGGGCAAGATCGGGTGATCGCGTTCGTTTTTCACCTGCCTATGGCTGCAGCGAAGAATTACCTAGTTTAAAATAAGGAATTACTTGCGATGAAATATGCACTTGTCAAGTTCAGGTTGCACCTGCTTGGTTCAAAGCCGGTCGTGACCTACACAGATCATGCGTCACTACGCACTGCGACTCACTCGCCTCAACCCTCGAAGTGGATGGCCAGGTGACTCTCCCTCTCCGCGAAGTATAACTTCGAGGTGAAGGATAAGCCAGGAAATTAGAATGCTTTGGCTGATGCTTCACGCAGACCGGATTATAAGCTTGCTTAGGTCACGACGGTGAAGTCGTCAGTGACGGATTTGATCCGCGCTACGTATGTGGGTGATAATATGTGCTAAGCGCTGCTACAGGGCATCGGGGGCAAGAAGTCTAGAAACTCGGACAGGAATTTGTCGTCGTGACTGCGTGCACGGTTGCACCGATATTCATTGATTAGCGGATTGCTGTCATTTTAGCAACGACTCGACAGATACGCCACGAATTGTGGCTCCTCACGATGATGATTTGGAAAACCCGTATTCCTTATAAGATGACGCCCCACTTAGTGGTCATCTCGGTTGTGATAAGACCTACAGCGCTGTGAATTGCCACTACTGGTGGACTAAGCTGTACGAATGGACGAGTACTCATGTGCGCACGTGTGAGACGTGTAGAAGGGTGATATTCACTCTAAAAGATGCGAAGCCGCCGACCAGTTTGACAGTACCCTCTAGGTAATGGCACTATATGAGTATGGAGTCTTTAGCCTGCCGAAGGACTTTGTCGTGGTATTCGTAGACCCTTTGAGCAAGATGGCTCATGTTGCGGCGCTGCCGGACACCATCGACGG